AATTTTTATTTATTGTTTCTTTATAGATGTTTTTAGATGTTTATAAAGTATTCTGCTTTTACTAAAACGAGTGTGCAACAAATGTAAGACAGATGGGTTCATACGATATGAAATTTTGGTGCTGTTAAACAGCTTAATTGTACATTTTAGTAGCACTTTCTATGTACATTGCAATTTGTATATAGTATATAAGGGAAATATAAATAAAATATGTAAGTAATTACTAAGTATGTTAATACCATATATACTATAAAGCCGATATCACAAGACGTTCGATAGCAGTTGAATAAGCAGAAATGGCTTATTTTGGATTTCAGTAGTAAAATTAGTTTTTTTGTCAATATTTTAACTTTTCACACCGATTTGTGTGTGCGTTAAGTTTTCTCTACTATTAATAACTTATAATAACTTATAAAATTTAATGAATCGTGTTTGGCTATACGGTGACGAAGTATGACGTACTGCAAATAACACAAATATTGCTATAATTCAAAAACTTCAACAAAAAGTTCTCTGGGTTATTATCAGCACAGATTGGTATATTCCAAATTATAAAATACATCATGATCTCGACATACAACTTCTTTCCATAGCCATTAAATAGAGCAGTGTCATGTAAAATTTATGTCCTATGACAAGATAGCCATATTAAATAGAAAATGGCTATTTCTAATATTGAGAAAATTTTGAAATGCAAAAATAATTTAATAATAATAGGCATTTTCGGTGCTTCGCAAGTATGGTAAAAAATGCATGCTGTCTATATTCGCTACGTGAGCCATTGGCATCACTGTTGCAATCTGTCAAATGTTATCATTTGACAAATAGCAAAAATAGCATAATGCAAGCAAATTAAATTTTTTATAAAAATAAATAATTAATATAAATTTAAAATTAAGAGGAATAGAATATTAGGCCTTTTCGGTGGCTCGCAAGTGCAGCAAAAAACAGCAAGTTGCTGGCCTATGCAGGCCTATACTGGCCGCAATGTACGCAAAACAACAACACTATTTTCTCTACCTCGGCCAGCATAGTTATGCTAGCCAACCGCATAGTTATGCGGCCAGTAAAAAAAAAAATGTTACCAACGCAATAAGCGAACTATTGTGAACCTTCATTGAAAATTCCAACGAATAGTGCAATCAAATGTTAAAAATTGAGGAAATAAAAATTCAAACAGAATTCAAAAATTTGAAAAATCTTGAAAAGTAACGAAGAAATAATAAGAATGGAGAAATCGTAATTATTAAGCACATTGAATTTTTTATTATGTTAGTTATTACCAAGTAACATTTATTTTAATTCATTTAATTTGTAGTTTACATACGTAAAATTAATAAAACAAACATAATTTTTGAAGTTTTTCTAAAAAATTTTTTTATAGAAATACACGCAAACTATGGACCACAAAGGAAACGAAGTGTTTTCTAGAGTGCTACTTGACACGAAAGGAAGAGTTTTTGGAAACCAGAAAAAAAAGACTTGGATATTCACAACATTTAAAAAATTCGTTAAACAACTTGCATCCCTCGGCCGCTGCAAAACGTTGCTTTCTTCTCCCAACATCGACAGTACCTACAAAAATTTACTTATCTTAGTGTTTTATTTTTAAATTTCCAATATTTTTACCATTCCTTTTAATTCCATGTTCATTTTAATTTTATAATATTTTTATAAAAATATATTTGATTTATATGCACATATACAAGATTTGCTATTTGTCAAAACAAAACATTTGACAGATTGCAACAGTGATGCCAATGACTCGCGTGGCCAACATAGGCCAACATGCATTTTTTGCCGTATTTGCGAGCCACCGAAAGACCTATTAAAAGGAATGGGAAAAATATTGAAAACTTCAAAAGAAATTTTTTTTTTTGCCAATTTCAAATTTATAACATTTTTGAATTTTGTTTGAATTTTTGTTTACATATGTTTTCTAACATATGATTGCAATAATCGTCGGAATTTCCAATGAAGGTTCACAATAGTTCGCTTATTGGGTTGGTAACATTTTTTTTTTTTACTGGCTGAGGTATAGGCCAGCAACTTGCTGTTTCTTCCCGTACTTGCAAGCCACCGAAAAGGCCTAATAATGTAGTGTTGAAAAACAGGAAGCATCATACAAAGAAGTCTGCGAGAAATATTTTTAACACGATAAATTTAAGACTTTTTAAATCCTATGTGTGTATTCACGCTTTACTTAGTAATTTGAGTGAATTATAATAAGTAGAGCTGACATGGAATTTTATCAGTTCAATAAAAATTTGAGACACCATAATGGAATGAAAAAACATGGCTTTTCATATTTATGATATTTAAATAGCGCCATCATAACGCAAGTAAGCACAATTGATATTTAGTCAGAGATGCGTTGAAGTTTAAAACCAAATTTGATTGTTAGGCCTCTTAACAACACAAAAAATAATAAAATTTTATTTGAAATCCCGAATTTTTTCCTATTTTTATAAAATTGCACATAAAATTTATACAATAAATTAGTACACTTTATTGTACACAATATTATATAATTGCTATAAACTATGTTTAATATATTATTTTAAATCAATCATATAAAACTAAATAAATAATAATAATTAAGAATTCCGTGTCCTATGACAAGATAGCCATATTAAATAGAAAATAGCTATTTTCTAATATTGAGAAAATGCATTAATAATTTTTATTTATTGTTTCTTTATAGATGTTTTTAGATGTTTATAAAGTATTCTGCTTTTACTAAAACGAGTGTGCAACAAATGTAAGACAGATGGGTTCATACGATATGAAATTTTGGTGCTGTTAAACAGCTTAATTGTACATTTTAGTAGCACTTTCTATGTACATTGCAATTTGTATATAGTATATAAGGGAAATATAAATAAAATATGTAAGTAATTACTAAGTATGTTAATACCATATATACTATAAAGCCGATATCACAAGACGTTCGATAGCAGTTGAATAAGCAGAAATGGCTTATTTTGGATTTCAGTAGTAAAATTAGTTTTTTTGTCAATATTTTAACTTTTCACACCGATTTGTGTGTGCGTTAAGTTTTCTCTACTATTAATAACTTATAATAACTTATAAAATTTAATGAATCGTGTTTGGCTATACGGTGACGAAGTATGACGTACTGCAAATAACACAAATATTGCTATAATTCAAAAACTTCAACAAAAAGTTCTCTGGGTTATTATCAGCACAGATTGGTATATTCCAAATTATAAAATACATCATGATCTCGACATACAACTTCTTTCCATAGCCATTAAATAGAGCAGTGTCATGTAAAATTTATGTCCTATGACAAGATAGCCATATTAAATAGAAAATGGCTATTTCTAATATTGAGAAAATTTTGAAATGCAAAAATAATTTAATAATAATAGGCATTTTCGGTGCTTCGCAAGTATGGTAAAAAATGCATGCTGTCTATATTCGCTACGTGAGCCATTGGCATCACTGTTGCAATCTGTCAAATGTTATCTTTTGCCAAATAGCAAAACTAGCATAATGCAAGCAAATTAAATTTTGTATAAAAACAAATAATTAGTAAAAATTAAAATAAATACAAAATTAAGAGTAATAGTAAAAGTGTTAAAACATTTCAAAATAAAACACTGAAATTTTTCTTTTTTTCCAATTTTCAAATTTATGAATTTTGTTTATTTCATTGGTAACACTTTTTTTACTAGCCAAAGTAGTGAAAATAGTGTTGTTGTTTTGTGTACATTTTGGCTATTAAAGGCAAGCAAGTTGCTGTTTTTTGCCATACTTGCGAGCCACTGAAAAGGCCTACTGTTGACAAACTAAACTGAAAACTAAAAATATGGAGAAAGAAACGGAAATAAAAAGAAAAAATTGGATGAAAGAGGATGAAGAATGTTTAATTAAAATATTTGCGGAAAAAGAAATAGTAAAATTGTTGGACGTCAGGAAATATAGTAAGGACACAAGTTATGAAGTAGTTCGTTAAGAAAAGGAAGTCGGAAGTATTCTCATATTATTCAAGAGTTGTAATCGCATTTCTTGTAATTTTTGTTAATTTTAGACAGGATATTCCTAAAATCTTCTTTGTTGTTTTATTATTTTTTTTCTTCTATTTTGGTTATAATATCTTTCTTTTACAATAAAAGTAAAACAATTTGAAATTTTACTAAAATCTTTAAAATCAACATTTTTGTTTATCGCTTAACAGCTGCCTAATTGACAGCTACCTTAAAAGTGCTTTTAATTCTTGTGCGTAAACGCTCCAGAAACTAATTTTATCATCAGTTTTAATAGTGACTTTAAAACTCGCGTAAACGTAGTGCATGTCTAATAATTTTTTCTGTATTTTGCTGTTTGCGTTTCTACCTCAGCTACGTTGGCTACGTGTACGTTAACGAATTCAGCCTTAAAAAATTTTTTTTATTCGCTTAAGATGCAGCTCTGGTCAACTCAAATGTAGGTAAATACTTAAGTGAATACAAGCGAAAACGGCGGCATTTGTGTTTTCTCGTCGTCGGTGTAAGGTCGTACATTCTAGAGAGAATACTGATTGGTAAATATATTTTATTAAAAATATTATTACTACATCATAGATCGTCTACATTCTTTGTTAGAAATATTAATTATGTTTAACGCAATTTTTATCATTGCAACTTATTTTGTGACAATAATTACTGTGTATAATTAATACTAAAATATTTGCAAAAAAAATTTCATGGCTTGTGCTGAAAAAAGCCGCATTGTATGTGCAGAAATAATTTTAGTTTGGCGTCGTGTTAATGTTTGTTTGTTTTGTTCTTTATTTGCAGCTGCTTTTCTATTATTTTATCGGAAGTAAGAAAATTGTTAGTAAGAAACGGTAAGTTCCTACGAAATGTGATAATAAGAAATATATATAATGTTAAAAATTGATGTTGAGGATGAAAGCCTCGCTGTTAAAATGTCAGAACAGAGCATGTTTTCTTGGTCGTTTTTTTAACGTAATTTAAAATGGCGCAAACATGTAGAGACGGAATTCGAAAACGAAAAACGCCAAACGCTAAACACCAAACAATCTTATGTTTTATATAAAAACTGATAGTAGAGAAAGAAAATTTATGCTTTTGCTTGTAAACCGAAACTATTGTGCTAAAGTATTTGTTAAAGCGTCAGTGCGAATTATTGGTTTTCATAAAGTAATTATTGGATTTTAGATGTTGGATGTTGTATGTAAATTTGTGATCATCTAGAAAATAATTTCAATTTTGCAGTAAGATTGATACAATTCTAGGAATTATATTTTAATTGATTATGTAAATATTTACATAATATCGTAGTATATATAATTAAAATGTTTTATTCGTTTATTTTTTTATATATAATTAACAACGAAATTTATATTAATTATTATAAAAATAATTGCCCGGAATTTATGTGCATCTTTGGTAAATTTTTCACGGTAAGCCGTGGACTTTTTCACTTTTCCACTTCTCCGATTGATTTTGCGGTCATATTTTTCTAAATATCGCCAAAATGTATCAAAAGTAATTTTAAAGTTAAATTAAAACTTTTCAGTTCAAACGGTGTACTTTTCAAAATGTTAATAACATATGTGGTATAGACCGGGAAGAAGAAGAGAACGTTTATGTGTGTTGGTTAGCATAACATAATGTCAGAAGCGGTATCAGAAGCGCTTAAAACAGTTTTTAATTGAAACTTTGCATATTATATTATCTTTTTTTCTTTGTACCAGTCAGCAATAAATGAAAAAAGTGAACGCTTCGATCCAAACACTGCAATCTTATGAACATAAAATCCGATTGTAGGGTACAGTTGAACTCTGAAGAATCCTGACTTGGATGCCGTTAGGCAAGTACAATAGGTTGGATGTGTTGCTCTCTCACTTTATGCATCGAGGTTTTTCAAGTATAGATTGGAATATTGCAATAGGTCTTACATTTTTCAGACATTTGTTTTTTTTTTGTTATTATTTTTTGCTACTACTAGAAATAATTTGTACTCTATTAAGTCCGTATTTGTATGTTTCCTAGAGATTTTTTGCACTGGCACTTCTTTATTGTTTTTGGTTAAAAGTTTTCAAATATATTTATTTATTTATAAAATATCTTATAAAATTTTCACAATATTAACACCTAATTTATCTAATTTACTCAATTCGAAATTCTGGTAAATTCCAACATTCACTGCCGTACCGACAAAATTTACTATTTTCCTCAATTTACCATCTATTTACTCGAACTCGCACACGGCCTAAAATGTCGAATAAAACGGACTTTGTAATAAATGTTTAATAAAAATAACAGTTTAATTGCTCTAAACCAGGGCTGTGCAAAACACGACACGCGGCTAATATTTGTGCGGCCCTTGAATTGTTTTCAATCTATATTTACGGAAAGCTTTATTTGGTGTGCTGGTAAAACCACATTATTTTATTTTTATGGTATACGAAATGTATTTGTGTGTGTTTCTGCGGTCCTCCAATCTGTATAGTGATTTGTATTGACCCGCCAGGGCATCTGCTCTGGACAGCCCTGTTCTAAACAACATAAATTTAGTATAGTTGCTTAGTATATTGGATAGATTAGCTTGCAATAGATCATAAGTGTATTATAATCACTTTGTCTGCCTTCTACTTCAATTGTTTATTGTCTATTATAATGTCTATACTAAAATTGTTTTTTTTTACCATGTTTAGAAGATTAATTTCCAATGTAATATAGTGGTCCAACAAAAGATTTTTCTATAATATAATAGTTTTTATAATATAATAGTCTTCTATAATAGTTTTGAGAGATACTAATTTTTTAATATATGTTTTGAAGAGTTGGTGATAGTCTTCCGTTTCTTCTAATATTAGTGCTTATCTTAGTAGTTATCTAGTATGAGTATAACTATATTTAAATTGTGTACTACTAATCTAGGTGTACGAGTAAGTTTCTTATATCAATTTCAGTCTCTTCTTCACTAATATGCTCAAGTTGATGGTTTTGATAGTGAAGCCTTCGAGTGATTGTTTTATATTATTAACAGATATTTTGTCTCATCTGTCTATGCCTACATATACATATAATAATATTTACTTATCAATTTACTTGCAGGAAGTTCTTTACTTAAAAACATAAAAATGCAGAACGGAAGCAGTAATGGCATTGGCACCAGCAGTGGCTCCAGCAGTATGTCTATTGAACAAATGTATCAAAAGAAGTCGCAGTTAGAGCATATTCTACTCCGTCCTGATACGTATATCGGTTCCGTTGAGCACACTAAAGAATTGATGTGGGTATATAATGAAGAAAATAATCGTATGACTCAGCGCGAAATTAGTTATGTACCCGGTTTATATAAAATTTTTGATGAAATTTTGGTCAACGCTGCTGATAATAAACAGCGTGACAAAAGTATGAATACTATTAAAATTGATATTGATCCGGAGAAGAATATTATTTCTATATGGAATAATGGACAAGGCATACCCGTTACTATGCATAAGGAACAGAAAATGTATGTGCCCACTATGATATTCGGCCATTTGTTAACTTCATCTAATTATAATGATGAAGAAAAAAAGGTTACTGGTGGTCGTAATGGTTACGGTGCCAAATTGTGTAATATATTTTCAAACACATTCACTGTTGAAACTGCCACAAAGGAATATAAACGCAGTTTCAAGCAAAGCTGGGCGAACAATATGACTAAGAGCACCGATCCGAAGGTGAGTTCAAGTTATAAATTGATTAATATATTATAACTTGATGTGTGATGTGTGTAATTTGCTTTTAGATAAAAGATTTTGCTGGTACCGATTTCACAAAGATTACGTTTAGTCCAGATTTGACCAAATTTAAAATGAATCGGTTAGATGAGGATATTGTTCAACTAATGTCTCGTCGTGCTTTTGATGTAGCCGCCTCATCGAAAGGTGTTGCCGTTTATTTGAACGGTAAAAGGTTATCAGTTAAATCGTTTAAGGATTACATTGATTTGTACACTAAGAATAATGACGATTCGTCGCAACCTATTAAAATAGTATATGAACAGTGTAGTGAACGTTGGGAAGTTGCGTGCTGTCACTCAGACCGTGGTTTTCAACAAATGTCCTTTGTTAATTCAATAGCAACGACTAAAGGTGGTCGACACGTAGATCACGTGGTAGATAACATTATAAAACAATTGTTAGAAGTTTTAAAAAAGAAGAACAAAGGTATTTTAAAACTTTGTTAATAATATTTATTTCAATAACTAATTTCTGTATTTACAGGTGGTATTAGTATTAAGCCATTCCAAGTACGAAATCATTTGTGGGTTTTTGTGAACTGTTTAATCGAAAATCCAACTTTTGATTCTCAAACAAAGGAGAATATGACTCTACAAGCAAAAAGTTTTGGTTCAAAATGTACATTATCCGAGAAGTTTATTGGAAATATTGCAAAGTCTGGCATAGTAGAAGCGGTTTTGACATGGGCTAAGTTCAAAGAACAGAATGATATCGCTAAAACGGGTGGCAAAAAATCATACAAAATCAAGGGTATACCAAAGCTCGAAGACGCTAACGAGGCTGGCAAATCTAATTCGTTGTTGTGCACACTGATTCTCACTGAGGGAGACTCAGCCAAGTCTTTGGCTGTATCGGGGCTTGGCGTTGTGGGTCGCGACTATTACGGTGTGTTTCCATTACGTGGTAAACTGCTTAATGTTCGCGAAGCGTCCTTTAAACAATTGGCTGAGAACGCTGAAATTAATAACTTGGTTAAAATTATTGGTCTCCAGTATAAAAAGAAATATTTGGTTATGGATGATTTAAAGACCTTACGTTATGGGAAAGTAATGATAATGACTGATCAAGATCAGGACGGATCGCATATTAAGGGTCTGTTAATAAATTTCATTCACACAAATTGGCCAGAATTGTTACGTTTACCATTTCTGGAAGAGTTTATTACACCAATCGTGAAGGCGACTAAGAAGAATGAAATACTTTCATTTTATTCGCTACCTGAATTTGAGGAATGGAAAAATGATACACCTAACCATTTAACATACACTGTAAAGTACTACAAAGGTGATTATTTTTTATTAAAACTATTAAAATTTTATATCACGCTCTTATTGTATTAATAATAATATTGATTTCACTTATAGGTTTGGGTACATCTACTTCAAAGGAAGCAAAAGAATATTTTCAGGATATGGACCGACATAGGATTTTATTTAAATATAGTGGCCAGGTGGATGATGATAGTATTGTTATGGCATTTTCAAAAAAACATATTGATTCACGAAAAACTTGGCTCACAACTCATATGGATGAAGTTAAACGTCGTAAAAATCTTGGATTGCCAGAGCGTTACTTGTACACCAAAGGAACAAAATATATATCGTTCTCTGATTTTGTTAATTTGGAACTTGTTTTGTTTTCAAATGCCGACAACGTACGTTCCATACCTTCTATGGTAGATGGTTTTAAGCCTGGTCAGAGGAAAGTTATGTTTACATGTTTTAAACGTAACGATAAGAAGGAAGTTAAAGTAGCACAATTATCTGGTTCCGTAGCTGAAATGTCAGCATATCACCATGGTGAAGTATCATTACAAATGACAATTGTAAATTTGGCTCAAAACTTTGTTGGATCCAACAATATTAATTTGCTTGAACCTCGTGGTCAATTTGGTACACGTTTGCAAGGCGGCAAGGACTGCGCTAGCGCTCGTTACATCTTCACTCTTATGTCGCCACTTGCTAGACTTATTTTTCACCCTGCAGATGATCCTTTGCTGTCATATGAAGTTGATGATGGACAAAAAATTGAACCCCAATGGTATATCCCTATCATTCCGATGGTTTTAGTAAATGGTGCCGAAGGTATTGGCACAGGGTGGTCAACCAAAATTCTTAATCATAATCCACGAGAAATTATAGCTAATCTTCGTCGAATGCTGGACAATCAAGAACCAAAGGAAATGCATCCTTGGTATAAAAATTTCCGTGGAGATATACATTACGTGTCCGATGGTCGTTATATTTGTTCAGGCTGCATTCAAGTTGTTAATAATAATAAGATTGAAATAACAGAATTGCCAATTAGTACATGGACGCAAACATATAAAGAAAATGTTCTGGACCCTCTCACAAATGGCAGTGAAAAAGTTAAACCTATTATATCAGATTATCGTGAATATCATACTGATACGACAGTGCGCTTTGTGATTTCATTTGCACCGGGAGAATTCGATCGTTTAATGGCTGAAGATGGTGGATTTTTCCGCGTTCTTAAATTAACGTCATCACTTTCTATCAATCAGATGCATTGTTTTGATGATCTTAGCTGCTTACGTAGATTTCCATCAACTGTTGATATACTTAAAGAGTATTATCAATTACGGTTGTTTTATTACGGTAAACGTAAGGAATACTTAGTTGGGCAATTAACTGCACAAGCTGAACGATTAACTGACCAAGCTCGCTTTATTCTTGAAAAGTGTGAGCGCACACTTGTTATTGAAAATAAAAAACGTAAAGTAATGATTGATGAATTGATAAAGCGTGGTTATCGCCCCGATCCCGTTAAAGAGTGGCAGAAGCGTATAAAAATGGAGGAAGAAGAAGTTCAAGACGACGATGATGAGGAAGAAGATGTGGAAAGCAGCAGCGCTGTTGTTAAAAAGGAGAAAAAGACAGTTGATCCAGAAAAGGCTTTCCAGAAATTAACTGATGTAAAGAAATTTGATTATTTACTTGGGATGTCAATGTGGATGTTGACTGAAGAGCGTAAAAACGAATTGTTGCGTCAGAGAGATCAAAAGTTAGCTGATCTGGCAGATTTGAAAGCAAAAACTCCAGAGCTATTGTGGTTAAATGATTTAGATGAATTAGAAAAGAAACTAAATGAAGTGGAAGAACTTGAACGTCTGGAGGAACAAGGACTTAACAAGAAAACTGCTAAAGCTTTAGCAGCGAAAGCGAAAGCTGGCGCAGCTCTTAAAAAGCGTACAGCTAAAGGCGGCGAAAACGCTTTCATACATCCGGATCCGAATGGACAAAAGGTGGAATTTAAGGTAATTTTTGTTTATGCAATCACAATAATATTGTTTTAATTTAAATTTAAGCTTGTAGAAAATTTGAAACGCAAATCATATTTATGAATTTGAATTTGTATGTACATATTAAAAATTTTTTTTTTTTTACTATTAATCAGGTTACTGAAGAAATTATAAAGAAAGTAACGGCTGCTATTGCTGTTGCTTCGAAAATTAAAAAGGAGCCTGGTGAGAAAAAAACTAAAACAAAGGTAAAAGAGGAGGTACTGGATGAAATTGATGCACTGGTTGCGGAAGGAGATAAAGGACCCAAAGGTTCGCCAGATGTGCCGAAAAAGGGAAAGAAACCTGGGGCTGAACCGAAGAAAAGGGCTATTCCAAAGAAGAAAAACGCTGATACTTCTAGCGATGGTCTTAAACAAACTAAATTAAACTTCAAATCTAAAGGGGTAAGAAATTTTTGTTTTTAAATATAATAAAGAATTGGAAAATGAATATATTAAAAAACTTGTTTTAGCGCAAGAAGAAAAGTACAAGCTCCGATGAAGATGAACTATCCGGTAGCGATATTGAAATGCAAGTTAGTGTTGCTCCACGTGCGGATCGACCAGGACGTCGTGCAACTGCTAAAAAAATAAACTATTCAGGTTTACTTGATTCGGATGAAGATGTACAAAGTAGTGAAGGTGAAATGGTTTTTAAGGATAATAAAGCAGTTCTCGAAGAGTCCACAGTAATGGCCAAAATTAGCGATAGCGAAAACGATGTCAATGGCAATGGAGACAGCGAGGAAGACACTCCTATCAAAAAGGCTCCTGGTAAGCGCCCACGTAAAAAAAATATAAGCGACAGTGATAGTGATAATAATAAGAAGGTAAATACGTTCTGCACTTGAAATTGGAAAAATAAACTATAATAAATGCATTTTAGGGTAAGAGGAAGAAGAAAGTCAGCAGTGACTCCGATGACTTCGACTTCTAAATATGAAAATTATTTAAAAAAAAATTAAATTTACAATTAAGAGTATAAAATATTTTAAACCTCAATCAATTATAATCAATCATTACTGTAACAAAACACATTCTTCTCAACGCATACATACGCAACGACAAATTTTTTAATTTTTTAAATAATTTAACTCACTTAACCTTGGACATTTATAATAATTTTAAATGTTAACTGTTTTTAAATGTGACTATTAGTTAGTATTGAGTTTTTTAGTTTGAAAGTTGGCTAGAAAACAGTACCTTTAAATGTACTTGTCATTTCATTGTATGTAAAATTGTTAACATGTTTAGTCAAACTTCTTTTTACCTTAAAGCATATGTAGAAAAAATTAAATTTACATTTAACATACATTTAAGAGAGCCAATAACAAACAACAAGTTTCTCAAAATATTTTTAACAATTTTTATATGATCCTTTCAATTATTGCATGTAGAAATAAATTAATAATTAATTATTGTATTTAATTGTTTTAAGAATATGAACGGTGTGTTTATTTTATTTAAACATTGTTACAATATTAACCATACACACCACCCAAACATTCAAATACATTCAACATTAGTATATATAGTAATGTTAATATCAAATAAGTTAGAGTACGTACATCCGTAAAATCTAAATAAATGATTTTAATGAAAATATTATGTGTTCTGTTTTTGTTTATATGAGATATGAGATATGAAGGAAGAAAATTCGTTATGTTTTTCATCTTTATTAGTTACTCAATTATTTCCAAAATGGATAATCGTTATTTGCTTTAAGCTCGTCATAAATTTTATATGCCTGCAAAGTTTAACGCTTCTAGGATAGTTGCACTCCAAATTCTGCAACTCCAAAACATATTCATTAACTGTCATTCATTAAATATATAAGATATACCACTACGGCTACAGTTGTTACTTTTTATCTTGTCCTCAGATAGCGCCTATGAAGATATAAGACAAGGTCTCACTTCTGTCGCAGTTTACTGCTCTGTTGGCAATGTAGTTACCATTATTATTATCTAAAAAGTGGTCCCAAGAGCTTTCAATAAGCTTAGCGAGTATAAATTTATAATTATGTAATAAATCAATCTGAAAAGTAATATTTGCATTATTATAATAAATATATATATGTATTCACTATATTCTATGTACATGTGATTAAAATTGTTATGTTCTGTAAAAAGAAATCTATTTCTGGTATTTAGCCTCCAATTGATGCCGTGGTTTTGCGAATCGAACATTTCTAACACACAATCATGCACAACAATAAATAGTAGTGGTCAGAAAATGCAGCCTTGCTTCGGTTGTTGAAATGAACGGTTCACTTGTTTCACCAATATACAGAACTTCGTGTTTTCATAGCTTTTCTTTATTGTATTAATTATTTTTTGCGGAGTCTCTGTAGTGCTGGTCAGATGGCCTCTCTCTTGATTGAATCAAACGCCTTTTCATGATCGACAAAGACTGTATACAGGACTGTGTTGAACTCGATGCACTGCTCAATTATGATACGCATACTATTTATATTGTCGACAGAGGACCGGTTTAGTTTGTTCATTTATTGGTTGAATAATGCTAAGCTTCCTGTAAGATAGTAGCCAAGATAACGCGAGAGTTGCGTTTCATGAGAGCTTTTTTACTCTTATGTGCTCTTTCTTTTTCAATATTTTTCTAAAGTTTAGTCTAGATATTTAACTTAGTCCTCTCGTTCTTTGAGCTTGTCCATGACAATTAGTCTTTTGCCATTTTCGTTCCTTTTCCTAGTGATAAACATTGCCTTCGGTTTACAGCGTTTAGCTTAATTTTCCACTTTCTGAAAGATTTGTTATTTCATTAACATGTTTCTATAGTCTCACATGAATGAAGTACTCTTTTCAGACTCTTTTCAGACTCTTTTCAGAGTACTTCAGAGTGCATTCAGAGTGCAGGTATCGTCTGCACATAATGATATGGTGCTTCTAGGTTCTTAATTAGTATTCCTTGTAAAATTCGCTATTCCTCTTATTTGGCAACCAAATCCGTGTGTTGTACTTTATCGAAAGCCTACGCAATGTCAAACATTATCAAACCAATCTCTCAACAGTTGGTTTTAGCTTATGCGGTAGTAAGCACACATCTGCAGGCAGGTTGCTAATAGGTTTTAAGATTTGATAGTGTGAATAAAACCATAGATAGTGTGAATTTGCGGCCAATCAGCCATTCCATTTTTCACAACTTCATATCAAGCTCGTCCCGTTTCTATTTTATGTGTTCCTTCATTCGAAGTTTTGCGTCCAAGGTTATGCCAAGATATTTTGGAGTGTTTGCATATGATATCTGAGTACCTTAAATCGAAATAGGAAAGTACTGTATTTTTTATTTGTAAAATCCACATGAACAGATTTATCAGAATTCAGTTTGATACGCCAACTCTTTGTCCAATTTTCTAACGAATCTGTAGCTATTTGTGATTTGTATTGATTCTTCAACGGAGTCAGCAATTTTACTTTTAGATGTTATTCGCAAGTCCATAGTGTAAAGCAGGTATAGTAGTGGACCGAGTACACTCCCCTGAGGTACACCAGCTTTTATCTCAGATAGATTTGAGTAACAGTTTTCGTGTTTTACATAAAAAAACATAGTGATAATGCAAGACTTAAAAATCGCAGAATATGACGACGGCAAACATGTTTCTAGTTTATTCAGAAGACCAGACCAGAAGTGCCAGATTTTGTCGACAGCCTGTGTGACACCAAAGAATACAACAGAACGCACTTTACCTTCAATAGCCCTTTCAATTTCATCGAAAATGTGGTGTACTTGATCTATAGTCGAATGCTTGCCACAAAATCCAAATTGATGGTTTGGTATTAGCTTTTCGGAGCCTATTATAGACATTAGTCACTTGTAGAATAGCTTTTCAAAGAACTTCGAAATGATTGGTAAAATTGAAATTGGTCTATATGACGATATGCATTCTAGCGGTTTGCCTACTTTTGGAATCATTTTTACCTCTGCGATCTTCCATAGTCTAGGAATACATTTTAGATTTATTATTGCATTGAATTGCATTAGCAATTTGCGAACAGATTTATCTGGTAACTGCTTTAAAACTTCGGATGTTATAAGGTCAAAGCCAGGCGCCTTTTTATTTTTCAGGTCTTTCATTGCTCATTTTAGTTCGCGTTTTGTTATTCGATCGATTTGCTGGTTTCTTCTCTCTGTGACAATCAGTAATTCATCACACTATACATCATTAGACTGAAATATTTTTGTCAGGTTATTTGCGAAAGATCTGGTTTTCTCCTCATTGCTTCTAGTCCATTTTCCATTGCTGTCTTTGATCGTTGGTGTGCATGTAAAGGATTGTCGATTTCCACAATGAGTATTCTGTTTTTTTTAGTCATTTACTCATTTTTGATAGACGAATCTCAGTTTTTAAACGTTTAGTAGCTTCATTAGGCCTGCTTTTATCTAGAGAATATCGAGTTTGTTGCCTTCTTTTTCTTAGTTTCTTCTTCTCTTTTAATAGACTCAGAATTTCTCTTGGATAGTTCTCCCCTACAGTTTTTCTTCTATATTCAGGGGTACTGATCCAAGCTGCTCTTTGAAGTCTCTTTCAAGTTCATCACAAGTGCTCAGTGAAGTTGAGAGGTTTACACTGTCTTCAAGCAATGCTTCAAAAAAACTCCAATCTGTAGATTTATTAGTCAGGTATGGAGCGGGACCTTTCTTTATGATTGTGTCACTTAAATTTAATTATATGGGCGAATGGTCGGTGTGCAGATCTAAACCTTGTTTGATTTGCATGTAGTTTGATGATATTTTTTAGTGAGAAAGAAATCTATAATGTCAGGCAATTTATTTGGATCGGTCGGCCAGTAATTTAGTTTTCCTGCTGAAATGAATTCGCATCCCGTTTCTATTTCAGCCTTATACAGTTCTCTTCCCCTTGTTGTTGTGATGCGTGAACCCCAATAAGAGTGTTTCGCATTAAAATCTCCACCTACAATAAACTTAAATTTGTGTCTTCTTATTAGCTGTTTATATTCCTAATCTGTGATGTTATGGGGGCTGTAAGTAGCAGTTATTGACAATGGTTGATTATTTGAGGGGATGTAAGAAGCAGTTATTGACAATGGTTGACAGTGACAGTTGTTGTTTAAGACATTTGAGTACTACATTTGCTTTCTTCATAATGATCCATGCTTTTCCGAATAATTTCAGTACTTCCTTCTCTCGCACAGTTATCTGGATGTATAGTATGATATATGAAATAATTCTTGAATGCTATAAAAGACTGTGCAGTAAAATGTGTTTCGTTCACAAGGCAAATATCGATTTGTTCCATGGTCAGTAATATTTCTAGATCTCATTGGTGCTTTAGCAGACCATTCGCGTTCTATGTCATAATTCTTAAGCAATTTTTCTTTTATTTTTTAAATTTTCGTTAAGTTTTTGTTTCAGCTTGGGTAGTCGGACTTGTATTGCGTTGGTTACTACTTCCTGTTTTGTATGTTTAAAAATGAAATTTTTAAAAATAGAAGAGAAATTGCCCTATAAATATGTAGTCTTTTAAAACTGACAGAAATATAACTGGGAATAGAGTTTGGACCGTGTTTTTGGTTAAATGTTTTGGTCTAAATCGATCGTTATTTGAAATGTAACATAAATGAAGATTTATGGTTACTGGAAATAATGCATTATTTCAATTAATAAATAAGCTGGAGAAATGAATTTAAAACGTATGATATTTTATGTAGTTCAACTCAATATTAAAACGTATTGTCCGTCACTAGGCTGGTTTGCAGTTGATGTATGCATCTAACTTTCAGTCTATTTAAGAAATATAAATCTAAATCAATCAATAAATCTAAACTAAATCAATATAAATAAATCAATTCACTATTTTGGCGTTTTCTTTAGTTAAAATTACGGTTCCTTAAGGTTAAACTTATAAATCCCACCCTTCTTTCACATTAAATCCCAATTGACAATATAATTATTTATTCATAAAATCAAGAAATTAAAAATAAATTATAAGTTAAGCACTTCATTTATTAATATAAATTTATTTTGTTTTAAAACAAACAATTTAGATAAAGCTACAACGAGAGGCTGCTGAAATGCATGATGATTTTCTCATTGTTAGTTTCTTTAACAGCTTCTTTGAGAGCATGACGGCAAGCATCGTTTTTATATTCTGTCTTAATTCCGCAGTCATGTTCGATCAAACCAATTTTATTGGCAAAGAAAACGACGAGAATGTTCTCCTTTCCAGTTTCAGTTGCATGTTTGAAGCAAATCTTAAATAGCCGCACGGCCCATTTTAAAGCTTCTACAGACTGACGGGATAGATTAGCAACTTTCAGTGTAGTGTAGTACAAGATATCAACGTAATCTTTCTCGCTTAATTCCTTGAAGCTCTTTTGTGCCAAAAATTAGAGTTTTATTGAAAGTGAAAAAATGTATAAAATAAGTAGAAAATACCTCACAAAAGTTGAAAAAGTTCATGTCAGGGGTTGCTATTGCTTTCAAAAACATTTCAAGAGAAGGTGGTTTTAATTCAAAGCAGAACTCCTCTACAGCATTCAATTGTATGTCTGGTGATTTATCATTATCTGCCGATATAGAAGCAGTTGCACTCAGCTGATTTTGATTTATTGGTTTCGGTTTAGTTGGCGTATTTAAACTAGCTGGAGTTTGAAAAAATACATTCTCTTCGCCACTTAGCTAAAATTAGTTGAAAAAAAAATTACTCTTTTAAAAGAATTTAAATAAATTGTAGAAATTATATACTGGTGTTTGAAAGGCGCTGACTGAGGTTACGTATGCACTAGCATTGCTACTTTCGTCAGTATTATCCTCATCGTCGTCGTCGTCGTCGTCGTCGTCGTCTTCCTCCTCCTCCTCCTCTTCCTCCTCATTGCTATCGTAAATGTCATCTGATCCTTCCTCTCCATCATTGTTTTGTGAATCATTTTCATTTTCAGACTCATTTTCTTCAACCTCAACGAATGCGTTAGGATTAATGGCAGCCTTCATACACTCAATAATGGTTTTTAAACCATCAGACCCGAGCTAAATAAAATACAATATAAATATTTTCAAGACTCAAATAATTAAAGTTCATTTTTTTTATAACTCACAACGTTGCCATCAAGATTAAAAGTTTTTAAGTTTGGTTTATTGAGCATAGCGTTTGCCAAACATATGCCA